GTTTCTGTTCTCTCGTTTCCAGTGAAACTATTGTTTTTCGAGGGACAATTGAGAAGTGTGCCATCGGCGACCGGATAGCGGGATGGAGACAAAAACACATAGAGAGCAATTAATGTAGATTTCTAGTGTGTCCCGCGGAATTTCTGGGCGTTTGTCCGGCAGCACAAAAGTTTTCAACACCTCTTATAGATCCGTAATACTTCAAATGATAGAAAAAAAATTTGTTTTTTTTTTCTTTTTTTTCTTTATCCTTTTTTTGCCTATCGGATTGAATAATGCATCGGTATTTCACTGAAAATTGAATTCTTTTTTTTTTCCCTTTCATGCAATCAGCGCCTTTGATCAGTTCGCTTTTGTTGCTGTTGTTGATTTCCACTGTCCCAAACGCCGTGGCAGTCATCAGCAGCGGCAGTAGCAGCACCAGCAACAGCATCATCACCATCATCATCATCATTATCATCATCGGTAGCAACAGAAACCCTTGTTGTCCCCCACTTTTCAAAGTTTGCTCAATTACTGTTGTTGTTGTTGTTGTTGTTGTTGTTGTTGTTGTTGGTTAGTCTTTCCAAAAGCATTGTTATTCATCTCGGTATTTTAATGGTCCGCGGACAACCTTTTATTTTCCGCGGAGAAAGTGCCAATCCTTTTTTATTTTTCTTTCAGAAGGAGAGAAGAATAGTGAAAATTAATTTTTCATTCCTTAACCTTAGAAAATGAGCCAGCAGCAGTAAAATGATAGAAAAATTAAGACAAAATATCTGAAGACTTAAATTAAAATAATAATTTGAATCCCCCATTTATCCCCTCTCTTTTCTTTCATATTTTTACTTCAAAAGGCAAAAACTGTGAAAAATACTTGGGAGTTAAAGCTTTATTTGTCTGTAGTGATTAACGAACACGAGCTTTCGGGCACATTGCCTCCTTTATGACCCATATTGCGGGGTAAGCTTTGTAACGGGTTGGAAATATTACTGCTAAAAACTGACTATTTGATGTCAGAAGTATTATGCTGGCGTGTTCCCGGTGCCTTAAAGTTTTATAGAAGAACGTTGGTCATCCCGTACACCTTCTCATTTCCTCACCCTCACCATCCATCCCCCGTGCCTACAGAAACAGAAAACTTAGATTTATGTATTGAACAGTCACAAAACTAGTGCAATTTTTGTTACAAATATATTAGGCCTCTTGTTTCTCTCCTTCTGTTTCCTCTGCTTTCAAATTGGTTAAAAATTCTAGTGTTTTCTTTGTTTCTTTTTTTTTTCTTGCTTTTTCCCACATTCATGCATTCTCGTAGGTTAAACAGCTTGTGTAGATTTGATTTTTAGAGGTTATTACTGGTATGTCCTGATACAAATAAAGCATTGTCTCACTTTGTGCTAATTACATTACAGATGTAAGAAACACACAAGAAATTCCCTCAGCAATGCTGACTGAACTATGCTCCATACAGAATATTACTGTAAAAATTTCTTTGTTACGTCCCGCAATTTGAAATTATGATCCTAAACTGGAAAATATTCTATCCAAGAAAATTGATAAGAATTTCAAGCGAACAGTTAAGGATGACGAGCATACGTGACGTCTCAAAGAAAAAAACATTTGACTTAACAAAGCTACTTTTGCAACAGCACTTAACAGTGGAAATAGATGCCAGTATTTTACATTATTGACTACTTTCATTATTTCGTTGTTACATCGTTTGTGTTCTGGCTCACTCTTTGGAGGTAACAATCTAAGTTTAATTACAGCAAAGACAGGAGGCAACCATGAAGTTCATGTACAAATTTACTTGCGAACGTCGAACAACCGAAACGGTGACGTCCAGAAGACGAATACATTGGTGTTTTCTATTTTTGTCTCTTTGAACTAAGAACAGCAAAAGCAAAGACGTTTAATGACGATACTCCTGTACACAACGAGGCAACCAAAAAGAAGGTATTCCAGTTTCAGCCAGCAACATGCATTTCGCAAAAAAAAAAAAGAAAAAGAAATCAAATTAAACAACTGTTCGGCGTAATTCACGCCAGCAGAAATTCTCCCCAACGATTGCAGAAAAAAGCCACATGCAGAATGCAGTGAAGGAGAGACTGAAGCAGAGAGCAGGCGGAACGACAGAGAGCGGACAGAAGGAACTGAAATTTGCCCTCGATCTATGCTTCAGATTGCGAGCGTATGTGTGCGAATCGTTCTTAAAAAAACACTAATTTTTCCCCATCAAACAAGCCCTCTAGGCAAAACTTCCAGTTTACAGTATCTCAACGGCTACCACCCAATTTTTCCATCTATCTCAACAGCTATACGTCTCTTGCTCCTATGTTACATCAAATCATCACGGACTTGCATCATCACTAATCAGATTAGCAATGTCAAATGTTGGTAGCGGCGCAAACAGTTTCATTTCTTCGGCAGCATTCTGCTCAGAATCTGCTCCATGCACCAAATTTCGTGTATCAGAAATCGCATACGCTGAACGAAGGTTCCGACGATTTTGCGGCAATAAATTTCTTGCCATTTTTGACGGACCCATCAAACTTCGCCAACGATCTATCGCACTACCATTTTTACAGCGTAGTTCCATCACAATTACTGGACCACTGTAAACTATACACCTACTTAGTCATATTTCCGTGTTGCAATTCAACAAGACTAGAAAAAATTAAAACCAAAAGTTTTTTCATGCAAGCATCATTTAACAAAATATTTTACAAAAACTGACACAGTGTTTCTTTCATGTGTCCAGCTGTAAGATAAACACTGCCGAAAAGACAAAAAAACTTTAAGCAGAGTACAAATGAGATTTAGATAATCGAGCTGGCAACACTTCTTTTCTGAAATGTTCCGAAATCCTAACGTATACAAATTTTATCTGCTCCTGCCTTTTTGGCCCAAACTCCAGTATTTTCGTAACAGGGGCAGCAGCATCAGTAAGTAATGGCTACATGTACTA